TACACCTGATCTTAAAATCTAATTGGTCAATTTATGTCGATCAGTGAAAATCTGTCGGTGCTACTGGGGTAGTTATGCGCATGCATGGTATAGAAAACACTATTTTGCCCATCTCTAATATAAATGTTTATAAAATTTTTATATAGATTATAAACCCAATGCAGACTTATAGTTAGAATTTTAATATAAAACTTAATTATTATATATACGTATTTACATATAATTTTATTTTGTATTTATATAAATGTAAAATTTATTATATCTATATAAAAATAATTTAATTTACTTTAACTATTCTCAAAGTGACTAAGGTAATCAGTGTATTCTGTACAAAACTTCAAATTCTAAAAAATTTTGTAAAAAATTCCGCAAAAATACAGATTTTTGCAGATTTACACTTTTAATTTTCTTGAGTTATAATTTCGCATAAAAATTTTACATATATTTATGTAAAAAACTATTTTGTAATGATGCAAATTGTCGTGCCTGAAGTTGACACCTGCCTGAAGTCGCACTTAACCCCTGAAATTAGGTCATCTTGCACGCGTTAGCTGGTAATTTAGGCAAGTATAACTTCAGGTGCCAGAAGTTACAAATTCAGGCATAACTTCCATAAGGAGAAGCTTCTTGGGCTTTATAGTGCTGTAAAAGTTACGAAAGGGCTGTGATTCGTAAAGGTCAAAACCTTCGGGTTAATAAAATAACAACCCACCTAATAAAATTACGAATCCCTAACATCTGTTGCCAAATCATCACGTCACGCCTCTGGCGAGTTGCCTAAATTAAAAATTTGTCGTTTCATATATGTAATTCATTTCACTCCATGACACTATTTAAAATTTAACGGATATTCAGATTCTTCATAAAATTTTGTTATAAAATTAAACTAACATATATCCAGATCGTGCGTTATATAAAGGATTTAGGTAGCATAGGTTTTAAGTTTCACTTAGCATGTAAATATTTAATTTTTTGTGAATATGGCAAATTAAAATAGGGATTCTCCACATCATAAAATAATCATTTTTTGGACCCTTCCAGTGTATAAACCTAACCCGAAATTATACGACAGTAAATACTAATTCGACATACTAAGTTGGTCGTGGCCATAGAAATCGTCAGTTCTGAAGTAGTGTAGTGTAGACTATCTCGAAACTTGTCATTTGTATGATGTTACAAAAATCCTAAAGCTCTGATTCCCATTCCCACATGATCATTTGTTACAAACAAATATACAATTTTATATAACGTTAAATCCAAATGCTTTTTATATTTGCACCTTCATTCATAAAAATACTATTTTTAAAAATGCCGCAAAGGTGCGAATATAGAGAATGGCTTGATAATGCCATTAGAAATAATCAAATTATCAAATATGATTATAATACATTTAATGATATAACGCCTATCGGACACGGGTCATTCGGAAAAGTTTCCAGTGCAATATCCTCTAAAGTTAAAAGCAAAGTAGCCTTAAAATCTATTAAAATTAATCCAGATTTTACGATAGAACTACTGGTTAACGAGGTTCGTTAATATAATAAGATCACTAATATAATTAACTTTTTTATAGCGAACACCTATATAACGTAGTAAATTATTATACTACAAACTTTTGAATTTTCTTTCTATAAGAGCTGTCTATTCGTTATAAAATAATATCAGATGAAAAAATATACAATTCAAATACTAATAATCCTTACCTTTACAGCTCAAACAGCATAATCGTATTGGTTCACATAATAATATTTTAAAATTCTATGGAATCATTGAAGGTGGTAAAATTAAAAATATTCTTAATTGATACAGTAAAATGCATCTTATTAATATTTTAATATATTCTTAGGGCCAAACGAATTTGTACTTATTCTTGAATATGCGAACAACGGTACTCTTAAGGAATATTTATGCTATAACTTTTGTGTTTTAAATTGGGATGATAAACTTTACCTTGCAAAACAATTAGCCGATGCTATAAAGTTTTTACATTCACATGATATAATTCACAGGGATTTGGTAGCTTAATATCTCATATTTTTATTTTATTCTAATTATATTTTTAATTTTTTTTTTCTTTTTTTTTTATATTTCATCTCATCCTTTAGCATTCTGAAAATGTACTTATCCATGATAAAATTATAAAGCTTAGTGACTTTGGAAATTCAAAATTTATTGCAGATCCATCAATTCAATTAACGAAGGCAATTGGATCACTACATTATTCAGATCCTGAATTCCTTAGAAGTTTTCCGAATTATAGTCGAACTAAGAAATCGGATATATATAGTTTGGGTGTATTATTATGGGAAATATCGAGTGGTAGGGTGCCATTTAAGTTTGAACCTTTGCTCAGTTTATTTTCTCGTATTATCTCCGGATTAAAAGAAAAACCAATTCACGGAACACCAAAAGATTATGTAAAAATTTATGAAGGTAACATAATTTAACGTATGATTTCATTTCTTTTAGTTAGTAAAAGATAAATGACTTTATCGATATTAGAATGCTGGAAATCTACACCAAACCAACGACCAGCTATTGAAGAGGTTGTATTTAACCTTGCAAATATAAATATTGATAACGTAATATCTATCGAAGAAATTGAAATTGATGATGTTGATAATAGCCAACCAGATATAATCAACATCATTCAAGGGCTAACTAATGGAATTGATGCTGATTCTGAAATTTTCCATGAATTATACGAAGTTTTAAGTTCAACATCAAATTCAACAACAAATATTAGTGAAGCTTTAAATTTAGCAGCAAATATTAATGAAATTTCTATTTCACCATCAAATTTTGATGAAGAACCTGTCATAAAGATCGATTCAAAAACTCTAGAATATATAGATAATAATATCAAAGACTCTGATAAGCAGTTTTTACAACAATTAGTGCAACTTTTTTTTAATCATATAAATTCTTCTGAAGAACCCAAATCGCTTGTTAATAAAATTGAAGGTTTAATTAAAGATTATAACGAAAATTCAGATAAAGCATTTAAAAAATTATTAAAACATCAAGGACAGCCAACATTTTCACATCTAATTGGCTTTTTCTACGACTATGGAATTGGTATTAAGGTTAACAAGCGAAAAGCTCAGAAGATGTATGAGCAAGCTAAAAAATACAAAAGCAATATCCAAAGCCAGTCAAATAGCATTATATCTTTAAAACCAATCTATAGGATTACAAAATCTACAGAAGCTTTTGCATATACTATTTTTGGAAATATTTATAAAAATAGAGTTGGAACAACTAAAAGTAATGAAAAGGCATTCCAATTTTATATGAAATCTGCAGAAAATGAAAATCACCATGCGCAAAACAGTGTTGGATACTGTTATGAATATGGAATTGGAACTACTAAAGATGAAGAAAAGGCATTCCAATGGTACATGAAATCTGCCAAAGGTGGAAATTATATTGCGCAAAATAACCTTGGATATTGTTATCAGAATGGGGTTGGTGTTATCAAAGATGAAGAAAAAGCATTACAATGGTATATAAAATCTGCTGAAAATGGAAGTCCTAAAGCACAAAATAATCTTGGATATTGTTATCTGTATGGAATTGGAATTGCAAAAAATGAAGAGCAAGCATTCAAATGGTGCAAGAAGTCTGCAGAAAATGGAAATCTCTATGGTCAAAACAGTCTTGGATATTGTTATCAGTACGGAATTGGGACTGCTAAAAATGAAGAAAAGGCATTCCAATGGTATATGAAGTCTGCCAAAAGTGGAAATTATAATGCGCAAAATAACCTTGGATATTGTTATCAAAATGGAATCGGAACTACTAAAGATGAGCAAAAAGCATTTCGATGGTATTTGTCAGCTGAAGGAGAAAACCCTCTTGCACAGCATAGACTTGGAAATTGTTATCA